TGTAACCAGAGGTAAGACAAGGAAGGATAGTGATTTCCACGCTAGCAGAGGTAAGAGAAGGAGGTGCAGTGACTTATGTGTAACCAGAGGTAAGAGAACCAGAGGTAAGAGGAGGAGGTGCAGTGAGTTCATTGTTACCAGAGGTCAGCAGCCACCTTCAACTAAACTGTCACTTGCCAATAGAGGGAGGATGTAGGGGCTCAGGTGCAGGGATGTTGCTTCCCAGGTGGCATGGCTCTGGCTGGCCCAGGCTGAGGACGAGGCCAGGTCAGGAAGGCGGGGTGCTTCCTCCGGCCGCAGGCGTGGACCTTCCCTGATCTGCCCCAGCCTCCTGCCAGCATGAGTGTGGCCAAAGGGAGAGGGAGAGGATGTGCCTCCCCCCCAGGGCTGGGTCTCGGGGGCGGAGTCGCTGGCAGTTGGGTGGTCTGTGTTCAAGAGGAAACCCTGAGTGCTTACCCAGTTATTAATGTGCAGTAATAGCAGTTCTATAGGAGAAGAGCATTGCTAATAAACACTCAGCGATTAGGGGTAAGGTGGTAATTGCAGACCTGGCTGGGGGAGTAATTGAGAGATGCAGCCCGGTGATTATACAGTCCAAGTGCCATTTCCCCGGAATGCGTGGCTCTCGGGCACGGCCTTGTGTCTCCTGGCGTCCTGGTGACGGAGCCAGAGGGGAGAGGGCAGTGTGCCCTCCTTGGAAGGGAGCCCAGGTCTCTTCCCCTCAGGAGACCCCCTTCCCTCTGAAGTTGGGGCTGCCTGTCTGTATGAAGGTGGCCTTGGGCAGGAGGGGTTTGACTTGATCCATCTGGCTCCTGCAGGCAGAGCCTGCAGCCCAGGCCAGGCAGTGCCAGGGTTCGGACTTTCAAGTCACAAGCTAGCGAGGAGGTGCCTGCCCGGGGGAGGGAGAGAGAAGGGGTGGGTGACAGCCCCAGGTTCTGAAAGGTAACACAAAGTTGTGTTCAGTTGTCCATACCCTGACCTACCATGCCTGGGCAGACAGCACTGCAGGGCTGGGGCAGCATGCATTTCAGTAGGGACCTTGAGAGCAGGGAAGGGGCTGCCCTTGTGTGATCCAGCCTGCCTATGCCCTTAGCTGCTTCTGCCCTGTCTCCAGCCTCCCAGCCAGTGGCTGCCTGGCTCCCCCACTTAGGCATTCCTAGCACCCACACTTCTGGGTGTGTGTGTGAGGGGGTTGCTGCTGTCCACTGGCTTCTTGGATTTCTGTTGCTGAGGTGGGGGGAGGGATCACTAAGGAGCCCTGGTGGCGCAGTGGGCTAGGTTTCTAACCATAAGGTTTGCGGTTCAAGCCCATGAGCTGCACCACAGATGAGGGAAGGCTGGCTGCTTCTGTAAAGATTACAACCTCAGACACCCACTGAGGCAGCGCTCCTCTGTCCTGTGGGTCGCCAGGAACAGGAATGGACGCGTTGCATTGGGTTTGGGGGTGTAGAGTCCCTGGGTTGGGCACGTGACTTGGTACCTCTGCTGTTAATGCTTTTAAGTGGAGCCAGGAACCGAGGCAGAAATGAGGGGACAGTCAGGTGAGGTTGTACAAGTGAGACGCTGAGGTCTTTGGGAGGTTCCTAATAGAAAAAATCTCGGGGGGAATGCTAGCCGCAAGGTCAGCAGTTTGAAACCACCAGCTGCTCTTTGGGAGAGAGATGAGGCTTTCTACTCCTGTAAAGTGTTACAGTCTCAGAAACTTACAGGTGCAGTTCTGCTCTGTCCTGTAGGGTCACTATGAGTCAGCATTGACTCAGTGTCAGTGGGAGAGAGAGAGTGTGTGTGAGAGTGAGTGCCTGTGTGTGTGTGAGTGAGTGTGTGAGTGTGTGGATTAGTCTTGAGAAGGAAGCCTGTCTGGCTCGACGGATTCTCTGCCCACTCATGGTGGACGGAGACAAGTAAGCTGAGGGTGCCGGGTGCGCGGGGGCCTAGGAGAACCCAGGGTCTGCTGCGTAGAGAGGGCTGACCTGCTCTCCCAGTCTTCCCCGGGGCAGGTGGGGAAGGGAGAGTACGAGACTGGGAGTAGAGCAAGCCCATGGCCCCAGGTGGCATCCCAGGGACAGGCTTATGGCTCTGTCTCTGGTGTGTCGGGTCTGGTGGGCATTTCTCATAAGACAGACGCAAGGATGATCCCTCCTGGAATGGAGGTGGGAGGAATCCGGCTTTGGCCCCACAAAGCAGAAATCCAGGAGCATGACCTTTCAGTGCGCGACTGATCTAGGCAGGCCCCGGGCTTCCAGCCCCCTCCGCCAGGCACTGGCAAGGAGAGACCCAGTGGTAAGATCATTTCTGAGAATTTGGGGGCCCTTGGCTCCATCGCCCCCGTCCCTGGAGCTGCAGAATTGGCAGAGGAAGGGGCGGCCTCCCCCACAGCCTCGGCCGAGTGTCCGTCGGCGCAGGGAGATGAAAGCCTGTCGTGTTCCCTTTGAAAGTGCTGGCAGCGCCTCCGTGGGCCCTGATTGCTGGGCACAGCCTCTCCTTGGATTCCAGCGGCATTAGACCTAATCCCCCGGCTCAGACGCTCTTTGAAAGGAGGAAGCAGCAAAACATGTGTGCTGGGGCAGAAGAGGCAAACAGGGCCTTTTGGATGTGCAGGCCTGGCCCTCTTTGAAGAGCAAGAAGGAAGGGTTTCTGTGGGCTCGGACCCCGCCACAGCAGGACACAGGGCTGGGCTCGTCCGTGGGGAGAGCTGCGGGAGGGAGGCAAAGCGAGCAGGTGACGGTGGGGAGAAGACTCAGCCGCGGGGGAAGTGGTCTCCTTTTCCCTCTGAGTGCCAGGGAGCAGATGGACGCCTGAGGGAGCCCCGCCCACAGGGCCTCCAGGCTTCTAGAAAGCTCATCAGGTGCCCTGCAGCCCAGGAGTAGAGAGCATGGCGCTGGCCGCAGGTTTTGGCGCCCCATGACTCTTAGCGTCCTGGTTCAGTATTACATCTGAAACCGGCGCACTAGTTGTTGCCTCAGCACTTGGCTGTTGCATTAGCTCTGACACTGAGCAGCCCAGCGTGGCAGAGTGGAGCTGCCCTCCCCGCCAGACTCCAAGGCAATGGGCATAGCAGGAGTGGAGGGAGCACCAGTCCTTCCCTGCGGAGAGCCTGCATGGTTCCAAGGGCCCACATTTCCGTTCACAGCCAGCTGCTTCACTGCACCACTAGGGCTCCGGGACCATGCTAATGCCCCTCGGTACTGAGGCCTGGGTAAACCAGCTCATTCTTAGAGGCACATAGCTCACTGAAATACCCAGTGTGGTGGGGGTGGGGCAGGGGGAAGGGACAGGAAGGAGAAGGCAGGCTGAGAGGGCCTATTCCCGGGCACATCTCAGAAGGCTGTATAAGGAACTAGTTCAGCAGCAAGGTATTTGGGAGGTGACTGGTGTTATTAGGCCTGCAGTAGGAAGGGGACATTGGATGGCGTCATTGAGCCTGCACTAGGAAGGGGACATGGGATGGCATTATTGGATCTGCCGTGTGAAATTGACTGGCAGCAGCATGTGGCAGTTGGAGAGAGGCAGCGAGTCTGGCCAAGGCAGGAACGGTATGCATTCCCTAGGAAGTTCTGTAATCACCTTTTGAAAGGGTTTTACACTAGGGCCACTCTGAGCCATATGCCAGGGTGAGGGACAAGCTTGGTCCTGTTCTGCCCCAGGGCTGGGGAGGAGGATTGAGGGGAAGCTAGGGACAGGGTGTCACCTGGGGTGGCAAGTCTTGTTCCCCGAGAGGCTCTTTACCAGAGAGATCTGGTACATGTAGCAGTTGTCAGTGATGTTAGTCTGGACCTAGGGGGACGGCCGAGAACCCATAGACACCCAAGGCTCAGTGCAGCGTGACCCAGACTGGCGCTTGGTGTGGTGAGGGACGGGGCGGGGGCGTGTCTAAGAAGGCTACCACCAGGGGCTTTGCAGGGCCCAGGCTCATGCACATTAGCATCTGGGCCCTTGACGCTGAGCTCCTTCCCCGGCTATGTCTTGCCCCCACACCCGGAAAGAACCAGCCTACTTCTTGGATTGTGCATGTTGGCTCCGTTTTATGTGAAGCAAGCCAAAGAAAGACCCAGCTGGGCCCTGAGACGAGACCCCTGAATCAGACTGACCCAGCCACTGGACAGCTGAGCTGCCCAGGGTAGAAAGCTGGCTCCTCTTTCAGAGCCTCCCGTCTGGGAGGAGGGGCACCCGCACTGTGAGGGCCCCCAGCGAGGCCAGCCTGCAACGAATCAGCGTAGTGGCCGCCCTCAGAGTCACACCCGCTTGGTCCCACAGTGGACCTTCAGAAACCCAGAGCCGCCTCTGCCTGCCGCCATCCTGCGCTGCGATCCGGAGTGGCTTGGGCCTCTCTGGGCCGGCCCTGCAGCAGACGCGGAGTCTTTAATACCTTTAATCAGACTATTAGTGAGGGGAACACGGAGCCTCTCAGCAGCAGCTTTCCCCCACTTAGGAGCTGTTTGTTAAGACTTTACATGAAGGGAGACAGATGACGCTGCGGTCCTGCGGTGAAGTTCAGCATGTTCCCTTAATGCTCCGTTCTTGGCTTCCCCTCGCAAGGCGCCCTCCCGGGGAGGCAGGCGGAAGTGCCAGCCTTGGAGCACCCCACCCTCATCCTCTGGGGACACAACCAGGCTGCCCTTCCCCTGAGGCCCTGTCAGGAGACCTCACTTCCTAGAAGTGAGGACACTGATGCCCCTCCCTCCAAACTAGTGCACCTGGGGAGTGGAGGCAGAGCAGGCGCTTGGGAGCAGGGTGTCAGTCCGGTCTGAACCTATTTCGTTGTGGCCGGCAGAGAGAATCCAGGAGGGAACCGTAACAGGGGGGAAAATGTACCAGGTTCCCACCCTGGGTGGAGCTGGGAAGGGGTGGAGTGAGCCCTCTCAGGGTGCTGACTCGGGAGACAGGGTGGTCACCTGCTCTCTGTGCACCTGTGCAGCCCTCGGCAGAGATGATGTTCCCAGCAGGCCTGTGGCCTGTGCTTCCACCCCTTCTACTGTGACTCCAATTGCCCCAGTTTTTAACCACCCGGCATCTTGCCCATCGCCCGGGATTGCCTGGGCTAAACGGGCTGGACACTCCAGAGGCTGGTCCACACAGAGTTGAAAGGCAGTGTAGCCACAGGAAGACTTTGTCAAAGGCAGCTCCTCCCAGCCATGGGCTGCCCGCTTCCGGCTCCTCCGCTGCCCAGCGGACCCCAGAGCTTGGGCCCAACCATAGTCACTGCTTCTGTTCTGTGGAGTACTTGCTCCTCACCCGCACCCCGGGGGTGGCCAAAGGCTCACTCCCACTGTCTCACTCAGCAGGGACTCTCCCAGTCTCCACCTTACTGAAGAGGAGGGAGGTCCCGGGAAGGTGGGTCATTGCCAAAGGTCAACACTTAGCATAACTACTATGCAAATGGTCGCAGGCTGCACACAAGCAGAGCAGGGTGCCCAGAGACTGCGGGGTACCCGGAGGCATCAGGTGCCTATCTTCTGCCAGCTGCCAGCACTGGCACTTTCCACAGGAGTCCTGGGGGAGCAGCAGAGGCAGGTGAGCAGCTGGTGAACCCGTGTGGCTCTGCTGGGCCAGGCCAGCACCTTTGGGGACAAGGCCTCATCCTTCAGCCCCAGCTTGAGGAGGGCTGACCTCGGCACCTGCCTCAGCTTACCCTGCAGGGAACGCTCCCCTCCCGCTGTTCAATCCCTTACCCTGAGACAGGCCCCAAACACGGGAAGCTGACGGTTCAGCTTTTCTTGGGGTCCGGCGCTGCGACCCAGCCCGTCATCCCCAGCACTCTGCGAACATCATTTCCCCTTCCCTTGCCACACACTCACCCTCCACTCAGCAGGGCGCCCAAACCATGGGTGCCCTGCCCGTGTGAGACCCTCTTGGCAAGGGGATTTTACAAAAGGAAGCACAACAGAGCAGAAGAGAACAGATCACGCGCGGCCCACCAGGTGAGCCGGATTCCACTGGGTGCAACTTCTTCCTGCAGGTGGACACACACGCACTTGCTAGTTTATTAGTTGCAACTTGATGGCTCCCGAAAGGAGAGGGAGCCTTGGTGGCACCGTGGTTAAAGTGCTCAGCTGGTACCTGAAAGGTCGAGAGTTGCAGCTCCTTGGGAGAAAGATGCAGCGGTCTGCTTCCATAAAGATGTCCAGTCTTGGGACACCTGTGGGCAGTGCTGCTCCGCTCTGTCCTACAGGGTTGCCGTGAGCTGCCGTTTGGCTAGTTGGTGATGGTTATTTTGGGGGGAAGTGAGCCCTGGTGGTGTTTGACTGCCAACCAAAAAGTCAATGGTTTGAAGCCCCCAGCCGCTCTGTGGAAGAACAATGTGGCCAGGTGCTTCTGTAACTATGACAGCCTTGAGAAGCCGAGGGTGCGGGCAGCTCTAATCAGAATTGACTGGACAGCAACTGGCCGCTGACAGGGTCCTAAAAGGTCTGCAAGTCTCGGTTAGGTTGAAGGTTGTGCAAAGAGAGCGAGCGATTGGCCAGCAATATGGAGACACCGCTAAGTGGCTCCGCCCACCCTGGCTCTGGCTGTGGCCTTGTGTGCGGGCCATAGGGCGTGGGCTCACCCCTGAGGTCAGGAAGGAGTCTGAGTCAGCTCAGTGCCCCCAGCCTACTGCTGCCACTCTTCCTCCTAAGGCGTGACCAGGATTCCCGGTGGCCTGGCAGAGGGAGCCTCCAGGGCTGGACCAGGGCTCCCAGAGGGCAGTGGCCATCTCTGACTGGTCTGGGTCTGTGTCCCCAGCAGCGACTCGGCACTGTGGCCGTGGCAGTGGCAGTACTGGTGAACCACCACCACCACCACCCCACCCCTAGCCAGCCCACTTCCCTGCGGCCACCAGCCCGCTCCCGGCCACCCCCTCCTCCCCAACCTGGCAGCTGCGTGGCGACAGAAGACGTGCCAACTCGGGGCATTAGAAGCAAAGTTGCATTTACTGGGCGGCTCTGGGCTTAGAGAGGTGTGCTAATCCCTTAAGAGGTGTGTGGCAGGAGATGAGAGGCAGGGAGAGCTAGGGAGGAAATCCCCGAGGGGGTGTGGGCCTGGCCCTGGGCTCTAATTCCCCCCCAAAGATCAGGTTCGGGTCCTGCAGGAAATGCATGGGCTCCGGAGCTTCAGAGGAGGAGAAGTGGTAATTAGGGGAGGATGCTGCCTGCCTCTGACAACAGAGCCCACTCTGAGAGCAGAGGGGCAGGGGCCCCGGGTAGGCTGCTCGCTTGCTCCTGCTCTTGCTCACGAAGGTGCTGGGGTGCCTCAGCTTCTCCAAGACGGGAGCGGGACTGAAGGAGGCACGCCACAACCCCGTCCCTGCTGCCCCACCCCGTCTCTCCTAGGGAACCTGGGCTGTGGGCCTTCATCTGTATGGACTCCTTAGCAGGCCTCCACCCCCACAAGCAGGCATGCTGCCACTGCAAGGCAACCTGGGTGTCCCTGCCATCCCTGGGTGGTGGCAGGCAGGGCCACCACGGGACCTGCTGGCACATTGCCCACACAGCATACCTCTGTATCACAGGAGGCTGTGAGGCCAACACTTAACACTCCGCCTGAAAGTCAAGGGCAGCAGCCACGGGACAGACTCTGCAAACACTGGCCAGGACCCAGGCTGGAGGGGCAGAGTCTTCCCGGGTCCCGCGCCCTGGGGGAGACCAGGTGTCCAGGACCCACGGCTCCAGCGCCCACCCCTCCTTTCTCTCCCCACTTCAGGATGCGCGCTCCATGGCCGCCACCGCCGCCTCCCTGGGGGGGCCCCGCGCCAACACCGTCCTGGAGCGCGTGGAAGGCGCGCAGCAGCGATGGAAGCTGCAGGTGCAGGAGCAGCGCAAGACCGTCTTCGATCGGCACAAGATGCTCAGCTAGGAGCTGCAAGACCCGGAGGCCGGCTGCCAGCCTCTGGTATTGGACGGCGCCAGGGCCGCTCCGCCCGCCCCTCTGAAAGCCTGCGGCCTTGTCCCCTTCTCCCTCTCGGGATGCGTGTACTGCAGCCAATCCCACGGGGAAGGAGTGTGGGGCCTCCTGGTGTGCCTCCTCAGGGAGGGGCTGGAGGAGACTTGGGCTTATCAGGCAGGTCAGTACTGGGTGGCATTGATCGCCCATCCTCCAGCCCTGCCACCTGTGCAGCTCCACACCTGGGGGCTTTGCTCCCCCGTCCCCCTTGGAAGGCAGAGCTAAGTCGTGGAGAACTCGGGATATGGTAGTCAAGCATGGCTCAGCGCTCAGCTTGTCCAGTGGGGCGCCCATGACCCCTCCCACCAGGCCCAGCAATGAGCTTTGCTTCTGGTGCTCAGGGATGGATTGGCTGGGGAAGCTGATGCCCAAGAGCCCCGGAGGGTCCTCAGGGCCTTCCACCATGCTCCCAGCGTCCATTCTTATTTACTCCGCTGCCCAGCCCCTCGCCCACCACAGCAGGCCCCACAGGCTGGTCTTCCCTCCCCGAGGGTCCAACCATGAGACAGACAATAGAGGCGGAAGGCCTGCCCTTGGATCACTGCGTCCCGGAGCGTCCCTGCCAATGCATGGAGAGAACGAAGTGTCTGACTGAGGGTTGTATATAAATCCAGGCAGCCATCGTCACGTTGTCTTACTTCTCTCACTCTCGGGGCTGCGAGGGATTTGGGGAGCTAAGAGTTGCGCCAACATCAAGAGGGATAGTGGGTACTGGGGTGAGGATGGGGGACACCGTGTGTGTGGGACCCTGAGCAAGTGTGCTTCGCTGGGGCCAGTGGGGGAGGGGGGGGGGGGGTTGCCACAAATGTGAGCCTGGCACAGAAGAACCAGTGCCCTTACATCCTGCTCACGTAGCACTGCCGGACCTAGCCCTGCCCTGGAAACAACACTACCCATTGCTGTCAAGTGGGTTCTAACTGGCAGCGGTCTCCTGTGTGTCTGCAGAAGGTGACCGCCAGGCCTTTCTGCCCAGGCACCTCTGGATGGAAACACACTCAGTCCCGCGCCATCCTCACAGTTGTCCTTGTCTGAGCTTTCAAGGCGGGATGCTCTTATTCCAGAGGCAGAATAAGGCCTCTTCCGAGGGGACAGATGGGCATGTTCACGTCTCAAGAATCCCCAGTCCAGGAATCGGGCTCCAGCGTTGCCAAATCTGCCCACTGAAACCGCACTGCCGGGGAGAGCCGTGAGTGCCCGCGTGTCTTCCCGAAGCCCCGCAGAGGACTACCAGCCCTTGCTCGTGTAAGAGCCTGGTCTCGAGCTAGCCGTTGCCCCTATCTCTAAACCCAAATGCCAAAGAAGGGCCCGACTCATGAAAATTAATCACTATAAAATAGCCCAGTGGGCTCCACTCTGAATAAGGGTTCACCTCGTAGCCAAGTAAGCACGTTCCAACTCACACAAGCAAAACCGGATTTCAGATCACCACTCGGGGGGCAGGTCCTTTTCTATGGCTGACCAAGGGACCGGGGCCCAGCAGAGGGAGAACGACATGTACTGCTTCGCTGGTCACCTGGAGCAGAAAGCAGGGTCCCCGCAGCCAGTGGTGGGAAAGACGAGGATTGCTGACTCGGGACCGGAATTCCTCACCCACCTTGCATAAAACAGTTGCTTTGAGAAGCGTTCACATCTTGCTCCTCTTCCACCAACCCCCCCCCCCCAACCGGGCTGTGGGGCAGAGGGTTGGTTCCCCAGGGGAAAGCTGGTTTGCTTTAGGCGCTGGGTACCAGAGCCTGAGATTGGGTCTGTACAGTTAGAGGCGACCACTCATCCGTGCCCTTGCGGCTCATAGGGAAGCCATGTTCGGGATAGAGGGGTAGGCGTGGGCCCACTTCCTCCAGCCTGCCCCCATTCCTCATTCAGGCCATCTGGGTCTTCCCTGAACTGTCTCCGCGCATCTCCCCTTACGCATCTTGTGCCAGCAAAGCCCCGGTGTGGACCCACAGCCAGCCTGCCTTCTCCGCTCCCCGCTGACCACTCGACACTGCTGGAAAGGTCATAACCGCCCGCTCATGTAGGGCCAGTCCTTCCTTGTCCGGGTTTCCAGTGTCCACGCAGGCCAGCAATCCTTTCTCCTCTGGTAGCCTGTTCTCAAGGCTACGAGGCAGCCTTGCTGGGTGTTCCCTCCTTTCCCCACCCCTTGAAAATCTGGCATGGGCCTTTGAAATTACCAAGGTCACCAGGTAGGTTCTCTTCCTGGCCTCCAGCCTGAACCTTTTTATCCCTCCGTTCTCATCTTGACTCGGGCTCTGTATGGTCTTGGGGAAAGTAGATCCCTCCTCCCCTAGGACGCCAACCGGCCCTCTACCTCGTCAACCCTCCCCGGTTTCCAGTCTGTTAGCATACTCAAAGGGAGAAAGACGAGGCTTTCTGCTCCCTACCGTAAAGAGTTAACTGCCTCAGAAACCCACAGGGACAGTCCTACCCTCCCAGCTGGGTGGCTGTGTGTCTCCGTCAACTGGATGGCAGTGCATTTTGAGAACACGCTGCAAGCAAGCCCCTTCCTGGCCACACAGTCTGCACCTGACTACAGCCCAAAGGGCTGGCGACTGGATCCACCCAACAGTGCCACGTAAGAAAGGTGTGGCGGTCTGTTTTCAAAAAAGATTACAGCCATGAAAACCAACGCCCAGGGAGCAGTCTTGAAGCACACAGGGCCACCGTGAATTGGAATCGGCTGCAATGGGTTTGGTTTGTGCTCGGGTCTCCATTCTAAAGAGGATCTTCCGTGGCCCACACCCCCCACCGCCTGCTGTGGCGTCTCCTCTAGGACTCCGTGCCCTCCACCTTCCACACTGTCGTCCACCCTGACTCCCCCAGCGCTCACAGAAGCCATGCTCATCTCTAACGCTGCTCCAGAGAAGGCCTTGCAGCCCTTACCGGCCTGCCCACTACATTTGATAGTCATCGGTCTTCTGCAGGGGAACTTCCCCCTCTCGTTCGGTTCTCCCGGCCCTTTCTGACCCTCCCTGAGGACTGCGACTTCCCGGGTTTCCATTCTCAGCCGCCTCATCTCATGCTGAACATTCAAGTCTTGAGTGTTCTTGCCTGGAGAAGTTGAGTCTCATCAAGCGTTTTCAGCGGCTATCTCTGCATCATCTCCATTTTGAGGCCAGACTTGGACCCTGAGCGCCAGACTCATCAAGCTGGTTCTCAGCTGGAATCTGCCTAGGTCCGCCCGAGCCTCTCCACAGCATGGTCCAGCTTAGACTCACCTTTGTGCCCAAAATAACGTCTCTTTGATATTGTCTTAATTCATGACACCACCACCCACCCAGTTGTCCAAATCAGGAGCCTAGAGGTCATTCATTTTTGTCTCTGCTCCCACGCCGAAACGCAAAGCCCCACTGTGGAGCCTTCCCACCCCTTCCCTGCTACCACCCCACATCATTTCTCAAGAACGGGCGCAGTTCTTCCGAAGAGCCATCAGAGAGCTTCCTCTTGGACGGACTGAGCACTTGACTGAGGCCAATAAACACCTCCAAGCTATGGTCTGCCCCCCTCTCCTTCCTTTCTCCCCAGAGCCAGTTGGCAGACATTGCTGGTGAGACGCTTGCGATTCATGGATGTGGGGCAGTTAGACGGGCTCTGTTGCTCATCTGGGGGAAGGGGCGACTTCTGCTACCAGGGTTTCAGCTAATCCCAAACTGTCCCCTGAGGCCCTGTGTCCACCCCCACCAAACCCCAGAGTTCATTAGCCTGTCTAGGGGCACTGAGGAGGAAGCAAAGCCAGACGGTGGAGTGAAGGGGTGGGAGAGGATGCCGTCCCTCTTCCGGAGTTTTGACGGCTCAGGCAGCTCCCGTAAGACGTCCCCCTTCGCCCCTCACCCCCCAACTCCAGCAGGTGGAATGGACAGAGTGTGGCCCTGACACTGGGCATCCACATGGGCTCTAGACCCATCTCTGCTTGTGGCCAATCTCTGAACCTCTCTCTGTCAGGTTCCTGTCTATAAGAACACCACAGTCGGCCCCACGTGCTTGCCAAATGATGGCTGCCAACCACTGGGAGGGCTGGGCCGAAGCCGCCCTGCAGGGCCAGTCTTCCAGTGAGTGAGCCAGTGATGCCAAGAGCTTGGGCCCTGGTGCTGCTCCTTGCCAGTGAGACCCCGTCGTTAACCTTCATCCAGACCCCCGTTGTCCGAGCCGAGCGGGCATCACAGGGTGCTCAGTGGCCGGTGTGGGGAGGAGGGCCTCAGGCCTTTCTTCCGAGGCACCTCAGCGAGCATGGACTCAAATCTCCAACCTCTTGATTAGCAACCGAGGACACGAGCCATTTGCATCCCCCCTCCTCCGCTCCCGGGAGACACCCTTTCCTCTGCGACATGGGGGTAATAACTATGTGCAGGTTGTTGCAAGGACTGCATTGCTGTGGATCAAGTACTGCCGACAGCCAGCCCAAGGATTGCTGGCTCTTCTCAGGCGTGGGACCCTCAGAGTCGCATCATCAAGTTAAGGGTCTATCGATTCAGCGGGGACTTCCTTCCTACACAACCTGATCTCCCAACTGACTCTCAGCCTTGCTGAGACTTTGATCCAGGCTCCTTAGGGGTGGTGACTTCTGCCACTCCGTCAGGGCAGCAGATGGCCTGCGTTCCCTGCGCTCCTTTCTCCCCAGGCCCCAGTGCTGAGCGTGGGGCCAGGATGGAGGCAGGCAGGCCTTAGGGACATGCGCAGCTTCTTTCCTGCATCAAGGTGGACATGGCCATTCGAGGCCCTGGTTCTGCTGGTCCCCACTGTGTGACCTCCAGCAGGGCCGATCTCTCTGAGACTCCTTTGCTCTCAGTAGAGAGGGAGAGGGCATTAGACTCGCCCATTGTGTCCCAAAGTGGGGTTCACATATGTCAGGTGATAACGGTAACCAGAAGAATACTGTATATTTCTAGTGGATATGAACGTAATCAGCACACAGACGTCGTGATTCTGGCTGTTGATGCCAAGGACAGGAAGAGGGGCAGCTGAGAACATGTAGTGGAGAATATTGGGAATGGGGCGAGTATCAGTGACACAGAGATGGCAGGCGGGCGGCTGGTGCTGGGACAGGGCCCCTGGGGGTGGGGCCTCTGGACCAGTTGACCTTTAGCTCCGTTGATGGTTGCCATGTGGCCCCGTGTGCACAGAGCTGAACTGACCCCTCGGGTTTGCAAGCTGTGACCTTCCAGAAGCAGATGGCCAGGCCTGTCTGCAGAGGCACCTCTGGGCGGGCTTGAACCACGAACCTTCCAGCTACTTGGGCGCATGGCTGTTTGTGTCACCCCAGGCTCCCACTCGAACCCTTCCTCGAGAGTTCAGGTTTGCTGCTGGTCAAACAACGGAGAGGTCTTCTCACCCCTAAAGCCCTGCTAGGTGCCTGGGAGGCTCAGACCAGGCATCAGATGGGTCCACAGCCTGGGACCCAGGGCCTGCCCTGGCCAGAGAGGCACAGAGTACACGCATTGGCCAGACCGTACAGGTCCACATCCCAGCACAGACCCTTCCCAGCTGTGGGGCCTGGGACTCCCTCATCTCAGTTTCCTCTGTTGAAAATGGGACTGGCATCCACTCCTCTGTCAGCTGGCCAGACTGCAGGGGCTTGCAGGCCACCAGCACCAAATACCAACAGGGCTGCCCACTGTGGACAGCTTTC